TGCAGCCGGCTCTCTTCGGAGGTCAGGCGGCATATCATAATGTCTAGCCACTGGACTGGAAGCTTCGTCTGCTCCGCCCGGGAGATAACCGAGACGGCCCAGCCGGCCAAGGTTAAGAATGTATTGGTTGGCACCTATGATGGTACCACCAATCCGAAAGATCACCTCATGGCTTACACCAACCTCATGTATCTGCAGGGGTTGGATGATGCCACTTGGTGTCGTTGTTTCCCGGCTACATTGAAGGGCATTGCCCAACAATGGTTTGGTAATCTGCCAGCCGGGTCCATCGATAGTTTTAGGAAGCTTGCCTTCCTATTTGATTCCAATTTCTCAATGAACATTCCTGCTAAGAAAACAAGATTGGACTTGAGCACCATTAAGAAGGGGGAGAGAGAAGGGCTGCGCTCCTATGTCAGGCGGTTCAATCTGATTAGAATTCAGATTCAAGGACTGTCTGACGAGGTAGTTTTTACAGACTTTTTCAAAGGTCTGAGAGACGGGTCGACTTTTAAGTTCAACCTAGTCAGAAAAGCTACATTCAAGCTACTAACCTCTGCTCGCCTGGTAACCAGTCGGACTCTAAGAAGTCCGACAAGCAGAAAGACAGCCGGCCTGTCCAGCCGGCCAAAAAGAAAGGAGAGAGCAAGAAGAGAAAAGAAATCTGGGCGGTTAGTGATTCTGACCAGCCGTCCCAGAAGAAGAAGAAAGAATTTAAACCTACGTCCCAAGGTACGAGTTTAACAAGGACTGCAACTCCATCTTCATGGAGATTAAGGACCGGCTGTCCCTAGAGAAGCCGAATCCAATGAAAAGTTCCATTCAATCAAGGAACAAAAATAAATTTTGCCAATACCATGAGGAAGTTGGCCATGACACCAACGACTGCTTCAGCCTTCAACGGGCGTTGGACCGTCTGGCTGACAAGGGAATGCTGAAGTCCTACATAAGGGTCAGTCCTCTAAGACTACCCCCCAGCATGCTAGTAGCTCAGATACCGACAAGGAGCCAGTCTACACAATAGCAGGCGGGTTCTCATGTGGTGACCCTACCATTCAGGGCACCAAGAGCCATCTTCGAAAGATGGACAAAGATGATGATGGGCAAGCGTCTGCAAGCTCCTCCTTCCCAGATGTTCCGATCACCGAGAAGGATAGGGGCAGTGTTCGCCGCCCGCATGATGACCCGGTCGTCATCGAATGTAAAGTTGCCAACCAACTGGTTGGACGGATCCTTATTGACACCGGCAACTCATCAGATATCATCAGTCTCCGGTGCTTGCAGAAGCTGAAATACAATGACAGCAGCTTGCATCCGGTTACCCACCCCTTAGTTGGCTTTGGGGGTGGAATGGTTTACCTAGTCGGAAGGGTTGATCTACCCATCCGGCTGGGTGAGAAAGGAAAAGGGCGACATCTGGTCGTCAAGTTTTTGGTTGTTGAGGAGTTGACCGCCTGCAGCATTATTTTGGGCCGGCCAACCCTCAACGAATCCAAAGCTGTAATCATCCCTTCCCTTATGCTCATCAAGTATGAGAGGGATGACGGCTCTGTTGGTTCCTTGAATGGGGATCAGAAGACGGCCCGGGAGTGCTATCTCTCAGGCGTCAAAGATACTGTGGCCCCAGACAGCCAGGAACCAATAGACCTTGACAATGTCAAGGATGCCGATCCAGTACCAGCAGTCGGGAAGAAAAGAAAGGCACCTATGCTGGTGGAGGTGAAGAAAGAGAAAAAATAGCAATCACTGACCGGTGAACGGCCAGATGAGCTTCGTCCCCAACCGGCTGGTGAACACATTGATATACATCTGGACGACAGCCGTCCGGAGCGTACCGTGAAGGTTGGGGCGGTTGCTTTTGCTAAGTTGGGTGCAAACTTGCACCTTTTGCTGAAAGAATTCAAAGACATTTTTGCCTTTGAAGTGGAAGAGATGCCAGGCGTCAGCCCGGATCTTGTTGTCCATAAACTCGTCGTGGACCCTAAAAAGAAGCCCATCTGGCAGAAGAAAAGAAATCACGGTGAGGAAAGAAGTCAAGCGGCAGCTGCCGAAGTTAAAAAGCTGTTGGATGCTGGGTTCATTCGGCCATGTAATTTCCCCGACTGGGTGGCGAATGTTGTGCTTGTAAAGAAGCCGAATGGTACCTGGCGTATGTGTGTTGATTACACAGATCTCAACAAGGCATGTCCCAAGGACAGTTATCCGCTTCCTAAGATCGACAGCCTGGTCGATTCAACAGCCGGGCATGCCTTGATGAGCTTTATGGATGCCTACTCCGACTTCCATCAGATACCCCTGTGGAAGAAAGATCAAGAAAAGACGCCCTTCGTCACTGATCAGGGGCTATTCTGTTACACAGTGATGCCGTTTGGCTTAAAAAATGCGCCGGCTACGTTCCAACGGATGATTAATACGGTCTTTATTAATCAAATTGGGAGGAATGTAGAGGCGTACATTGATGACATGATAGTCAAATCCAAGCAGCAGGCGGATTACCTTGCTGATCTCCGAGAAACCTTCACCACACTCAGGCGGCATAAGGTTATGTTAAATCCTAAGAAATGCATTTTTGGTGTTGAGTCTGGGAAGTTTCTCGGATTCCTGATTGATCAAAGGGGGATAGAGGCTAACCATGAGAAGATACAGGCGGTAATTGACATGAAGTCACCCCGCACTGTCAAGGAAGCACATAGACTAACCGGTTGCTTGGCCGCCTTGGGGAGATTCCTCAGCCGGTCAGGTGATAAATGCCTTTACTTCTTCCAAGCAATTAGGAAGAAGGCCAGATTTGAATGGGGGGATGATGCTGAGGCGGCCTTTCAACAGCTGAAAGAACACTTGCACTCCTTGCCAAGGCTTGTTAGCCCACTTCCTAGAGAGGTGTTATACATGTACCTAGTCGTCTCGGATCATGCCCTCAGTGCCGTTCTCCTTGCTGAGAGAGACGGTGTTCAGCTTCCGGTCTAGTTCATTAGCCATGTTCTAAAAAATGCTGAGCTCCGGTACCCCATGGTAGAAAAAATTGGCCTTGCCCTGTATATGGCTTTCAAGAAATTGAAACCTTATTTTCTGGCTCATCCGGTAGTAATCTACACCGACCAGCCCCTCAAGCGGCCAATGTCTACTTTTGAACTGGGCTATTGAAATGCAAAGTCTTGAAATCACTTTTGAACCTAGAAAGGCAGTGAAAGGTCAGGCATTTGCCGATTTCATTGTTGAAATGACTCGACCGGTGCAACCGGATAATGTTGACCAGGTTTGGAAAGTGTATGTAGACGGAAGCTCAACGAAGAACGGCTGTGGTGTAGGAATTATATATGAGTCTCCTGAGGGGGAAAAATTTGAATATGCCCTGCGTTTTAAGTTTCAAGCCTCAAACAACGAGGCGGAGTACGAAGCCCTGCTAGCCGGAATGCGCATGTGTAAAGCAGCAGGGGCAATGAAAATTGATGCCTATTCTGATTCTCAATTGGTTGTCAGCCAGTATGAGGGAACATATGAGGCAACTCATCTAGCTATGATCAAATATCTTCAGGCAGTCAAAGAAGAGGCTGGGGCACTTGAGGAATTCCGTCTGAATCAAGTGCCTAGGTCAGATAACAACCAGGCGGATGCGTTGTCCAAATTGGCTTCATCCGCCTGCTGTGATACTCCTCGGTCGGTTTTTTGGGAAGTTCTTGAAAAGAGAAGCATTGAAGATCCCATTGGAATCTTAGACCGAAGCTCTACATGGATGGATGGCATCCGGGTATATTTGGCAGACGGCAAGCTTCCTGATTCACCACAGGAGGCAGCCGTCATGAAAAAGCGAGCAACAAACTTCGAGTTGAGAAACGGAGAACTCTTCAAGGTGGGTTTCCTCAAACCTCTACTGAAGTGTGTTACCCCAGAAAAAAGGAAAGAAGTTCTCGAAGAATTGCATGTTGGGTATTGCGCCTCTCATATAGGCGGCAGGTCCCTAGCCGTCAGAGCCAGGCGACATTACTTCTGGCCTACTCTTGAAGCAGACGCTAAAGAGTTAGTAAAAAGATGTGACAAATGCCAAAGGTTTGGCCCTCTTATTCACCGCCCGGCTACTGATCTGACGGCAATCCACAGCCCAGTCCCATTCGCCAAATGGGGCATGAACGGGCGGAAAGTGCTACATTTTGGTGGCTGTGGATTATTTTACCAAATGGGTAGAAGCTGAGCCGGTTAAGAACATCAAGACAAAGGATGTCATCTCTTTTATCTGAAAGAATATCATCACCCGGTTTGGGGTACCTATGTCTATGGTGTTTGATAATGGCCCCCAGTTTGAGACCCCACAGCTCAAGACTTGGTTGGGAGATCAGGGTATCTCGCACTGTTTTGCATCAGTCGGCCGACCTCAAGCAAACGGCCAGGTTAAAGCCTTCAACAAACACTACTACATTTAAGAGCTAATACAACGGCTTTTTTTGTTGTATTAGGTGTCAAAAACCGTTGTATTAGACCTAATACAACGGTTACCAACCGTCACATTTGCAAGGGTTGGATTAGGTCTAATACAACGGCAAAATAGACCTAATCCAACGGATTGAGCAATCCGTTGGATTAGGTAGATACCTAATCCAACGGTTTCTTCAATCCGTTGGATTAGGTTCCCTTTTGTTTTTTTTGGGAATAATTGGACCTAATCCAACGGATTGATGAATCCGTTGTATTAGGTATCTACCTAATCCAACGGATTTTTCGCCCAATCCGTTGGATTAGGTCCTTTAATTTTTTTTTTTACATCCGTTGTATTAGCCCCCCCCCCTTTTTTTTTTAATACCGTTGTATTAGCCCCCCCTTTTTTTTTTTAAAAAAAAAAACCGTTGTATTAGACCCCTTTTTATTCTTTTTGTTTTTTAAAACCGTTGTATTAGGTAAATTTTTTATTTTTTTTAAATCTATAATAATAAATATAAATTATATTAGTATATTTATAATTTAAATAAACAAATTAAAGTACATATAATATATCTTCGTTCGTTGCATTACAAAATAAACGAAGTACATATAATACATATTCGTTGCATTACAAAAGTAAACGAAGTGTCAATACTAACTAATTATAAATGAAAGTTCACTAGCTAATTAATTAACAAACGTTTAATTTGAAAGCTCTTAGAAGTTGCAATAGATACATAAAATCAACATTAGTCCTTACTTCATTCATCCCGGGGTAGCTCATCGTCATCAACCACCTAAGTAAAAAAAGTAATGCATAAGCCACAATACCAACAACAATAACAACACCAATTGGGAAAATTAAATAACGCACAACACACAAATCAGTCATCAAAGTACAAAATATACAATAAGAGAACAAAAATCAGACATCCTTGGCAAGATATCATCATTTTAACAGTTTTCCACATCCAATGGTAAGTGAAATCAAACAAACAAAAGACATTAGAAGGCTATATCAACAGTTTGAGCTAATGCTATGTTTAAACAGCTCGAAGTTGTTAAATACCAGGAACATATTAATGTAGAATGCTGTAAAGATTTAAGCAATACTTGTATGCAGTATAGTATTTTTACAAGGGCCTCGGCCCCCTTGGGATAAAACAAAGCTTCATCCCAGGCTAAGAATTACTTAGAGAGAGTTGTGGCCTAAAGCTACTAAGAGATTCATGGCCTTAAGTCATGCGTTTGTAATCTGAAATTAGTTATCAATAAATACCAACATTCTCCCTAGAAACATTAATTACACTGTTCAGTCAATTATTAGCAATTAATTCCTTGAGTGAGCCTTGATTTTCTGTTTCAATTGAATTAGAGTCAGAGCAGGGAGGAGTGAGAGTTGCTGCAGCAGGGGTCGGCTAGCCAGTCTCTGACAGTCTCACATGGGAGACAAGATCCAGCATAATGTGATCAGCATACGACATTAATTATCGCACACCTGATTGTTATGCTCGGGGAATGCTAGAGGGAGATAAGGAGTGGAATGATGCAAGTTGTGAGGCTCTATATGGGCAAACTCAGCATAACTACGCCAGCCCCTTCTATAGTAGGCAGGTAGGCAGGTAGGCAAGCAAGCAGGCAAGTAGTTAGGCAGACAGGCAAGCAGTCAGTCAGGCAGGTAGGCAAGCAGGCAAGCAGTCAGGCAGGCAGGCAAGCTTTCAGTCAGACAGGCAGGCAAGTCAAGCAGTCAGTCAGTCAGTTAGTTAGTCAGGCAGGCAGGCAGTCAGTCAGTCAGGCTCAGGCAGGCAGGCAGTCAGTCAGTCAGGCTCAGGCAGGCAGGCAGTCAGTCAGTCAAGCAGTCAGTCAGTCAGTTAGTTAGTCAGGCAGGCAGGCAGTCAGTCAGTCAGGCAGCCAAGCAGTCAGTCAGGCAGGCAGTCAGTCAGTCAGTCAAGCAGTCAAGCAAGCAGTTAGGGGAAGTTTAGAAATTAAAGTTTAGAGCAGAGAAGTGCAGATTATACCTGATTAAATGATTTTGAAGATTGTCCACTTTGGGCAGTATTTCGATTTGGTGCACTAGATGCATCATGCGGAGTCAATTGCTGTAGAGTACTAGGAACCACAAGATTAATCCCGGGGTTGACCTCGCGAATCGAATCCAAAACTGCAGCGGTGATGGTAGGTGCAATTTCTTGGACTAATTGTGTTTTTATGCCTACCAGGAATTCCTCCGGGAGTATGTAATTTGACTTTGTATCTTTGTTCTTCAAATCACTCTTCTTCACACCCGAGCCATATAGATGCAAACGACTTTTGCGTTTAGGAGGTGGAATCACTTCACTGTAAGGGTCATTGCATACATTACCATCTTCTTGTGATTGTGCTGACTCCAAAGCATCAATTTTGTCCTGTTTAGGCAAACATAGTAATATGTTACTAATTATCGAATAACTAACAATATTTAGGCGTACAATGTTACTAATTATCGAATAACTCACAATATTCTCTTTTGCTTTTTCAAAGCTGCTAATGTATGTCCTTTCAGCACTTCTTTTTCTTGATTCCTTGTAAACCTTTGCTTGAGAAGGTTCTTTCTTGTCGGGATCTTGTTGTTGCTATATATATGTAAATCATAATATATGAAATTAGAATAAAAATATATGCAACATGCCTATAATTTAGATTTTAAAAAATGTACTTACCAACTCATGGCGTAAAATAGCATATGATTTGCGTCCCAAAGTGTGCATATCATCTAACATTAGACGATTGCTTTTGTTGCTTTGGCTAATTGCCTAGGGAAAATCGAAAACCACCATTTAATTCAAAATTAAACACATATTAGATAAAATTATTCGAGAGAATTAGATTAGAATCAATATACAGTACCTTCGCCTCATCGGTATGCCAATATTGTAGAAGATCTAGGAACATCTGATCGGAGATTGTATCTGGTTTATGTTCCCACCTTAAATCATCCGTATCATATGCATAGAAGTGCTTCTTCTTGATTTGGCATTTATAATATTTCCAACAACTATTTACAGCATCCATCACCCAATTTAACCCGGCGTGGGGGACCATATACTTCTCCTGTTCAAGCTAAAACATTAGTAACGTGTGGAGGTGTACGTGTAATGCAACAGTATCATTGTGTACTACCTGGACATAATCCAATATCTTATCAAGTGTCGGTAGGCTAGGAAAATTTCTGTAGTTAAGCGGTGCAAGTTCGGAATCCCTTGCCACCGTTCCCAGAAAAAAACTTGAACTCTTGCACAATCTCCTTAGTAGGTCCAATTGGCTGACCTAATGAGTTCAGAACAATCACAGGACGCTCCTCTCTTGAACGTGCGTGAACCCTGTGGAGCATTGTTCGACCTCGATGTTTTTTCCTTTTCGAGGACAATTCACTTGATGTTTCTGTGGTAATAAACACTGCATTCGTAAGTTTATCCAGCTTAACAAGTTTATATATATCTCAACCAGTGCTTTAACAAAGATGGCAGAATCAGATAAGAAAGATTCTTCAACTGAGAATGCAAAAGAGAAAATGTTATTGCTAGGTAATTTTAAATGCGTGTACTTTATTAGTATTTTGTACATATTTCTGTAATGGCTGCATATGGGGTTAGTACCTATTACATAGGCAAAAGTAGTGTAAATTGATTCCATAACAATTATTACTTTTTATTAATGAATAGCATGATGAATTCTTTAGTAGTTGAAAATGGCTACTTTAAAAAGAGTAGGGACACGTTTTCTGCCATGTAAAAGAACTATTTGGTAGAGCTTATCCATCTAACCTCAATAGAAACCCCGTACAAAATGTTTAAAGTATGTTGTGTTTTTTTTCTTTTTTTTTTATTTTTTATCAATGAATAATTTTCCTAAAGAAAAATCTCTATTTTCGTCAACTGGAGTTAAAGTTTTTTTTGATGTGTATTAGTTACAGCAAATTCCATAAACTATACTAATGTATAAGTTGCTACATTATTCTCTCCATTTTCCATTCAGCCTTACTTTTGATGGTTATGTGTCTGTGGTACTTCTAGAAAAAGTCAAATTGTCGAAATGATTTATGTTTATCACTTAGAAGAATCTGTGTATCAGTTGAGGGTACTGCTGCAATTCATGATGAATTAGAGATATTAGTTGAATGAGTGCAAATGGAATAAGATAGGTGCTGAAACACTTCATGTTATTTTCTCACTGTGGCAGGGGAACAGGGAGAACCTAAGGAAGTATTCAGAGACAATATCTTATTAAGTTATGCTTTTCTTTCCTGTGTTCAGACTTTAAATTGAAATATTACATATTATATATTTTCAGCCATTAGGTCTAATATGAAATAGATACGATTATTTAACAAACTACAAATTTTAAGTTTTAGGAATCAGAGGCAAAATATAAGCTCCATTGCATATACAAGTGTTTTTCTTTTATAAATGTCTAGGGAAGAATGTATCTACTTCTTTATTGGAGTTTTCAATCTATTTATGTCTGTCAAAGCATATTTATACTATTAATTATATCTATAATTATATTTTACTAGAATTATAACAATTTGACAGGTCAACCTAAGGCAATCATAATTAATGATCAGAATATACCTTCTATTCCAAACTGTGCCATCAATGCTCGTTCCGCTGCTTCATTTCCCTCATCATTGTCCTCACAATCGAACTGAAGAGCACAATCGGTCTCATTCAGCTGCTCATCATCATAATTTTGCCCTTTTTCATGCACCTCACTGCTCATCATCAGCGCTTCATCCTTTTGTCGTTTTCGAAACTCGAGGTAAGCTGACATTGAGCCAGGAGAACAGAACGCTCTTTTCTTCACAGATGCCTTTGTTGACCCCAATTGCTGTTCTTGCTGCTTCCTTTGAATTTCCCGTGTAGGAACTGGATGTTGTTGAGAAGAGACCTATAAAACAAAAGCGAAACAAGTTACTATGTGACGGGTCTGGCAGAGCAAAGGCAGGAATGTATATGTCGTCAAAAAACCCAAGAGACGCTGTGTATCATCAAATCAACCCACAATACATTAAACCAGAGAAAGAAAAAAAAAGAGCGATTATGAAGCTGAAAGATATAAATTCCAATCATTAGCTTAAAAATGTATGAGAACAGCAGTAAAAACATTAAGATCAGCAAACAGTCTCAACAAGACTGAAATTTGGTTGATGAGTTTTTTCCATTTATAATATACGGCATTTGATTATATGAAATCCCTCCAAATATCTTTGTCACGTCATATACAAGTATGAATTAGTCCCTGGTAATTTCTTGACCTTTTGTTTTCTACAATGATAACTAAAAAGCACAACTTTCTTGATTCATGTTTTTCTTGTTTAATATATCTCTGTGATTTTCCCAAACTACGCCAAAAAAAATTAAAAATAAGACTACATAGAAGGAACAGAAAATGTTGTACAGAGTAATTTATAAGACTTTAGGAATTTAGCAATAACCAATCTATAAATTGATGGCTAGACAAGTAGTAATTAGCTAGTGTGCGCATGCTCATATATGGAATATGGTATACAGTCCCTCAATCTCTATAAAACAAGAGGTAGGGGAGGGACTGACTACTAAATGGTGATGCCAAATTGTAAATAGATAGTACTAGATAGTAGAAGCAAACAATATGCTTCGTCGTTCAACCTATTTGATGTTTAATTGTCTAGTGTGCTAACATGTTTATTTGTATCACTCTGCATCAGTAATATAAGCATCATCATCAGTGTCACTCGAGGCTAGATCAGCAAATAAATTTTCCAATGGGACTTACAACGCCACATCCCCAACTAGCTGCAGTACAATTCATCTCCTGTGAACATTCATCATTTATAGTTTCTTCATTTTACACTCTCACAAGATGCATAAAGGCATTGCGAATGCTACAAACATTATATTTGAATCAGAACTGCAGCATTTTTGTGTTTTTACTAAATGTCGAACTATCTCTATATTTGAATCAGAACTGCAGCATCACAGATGGGAAAAAAATTCAAATACGTAGTAAAATAGAGAAAAATAGAAGAGCCAGATAATAAGGTACCGGTCTAGTTTAGATGAGCTTCAAGGTTAAAATAGACCAAAGCAAACTGAATAAACATGTTTGTAGAGCAAAGATAATTCCTACACAACTTATACCAAGAGTCTGGCAGAGCAAAGGCAGGAATGTATATGTCGTCAAAGCAAATTCAAGTTACTAAAGATACCTTTTCACATACTTGTCTTTTTTCACTACCAAGAGTTTCCTGTTCCGTATCAGAGTCTCCTGAGGAGCCATCATCTGTCTGCCTCACACTCGAACAAAGTATGTCGCGTGTTTTTTGTTGCAGTATCTTATTCGCCAAGGATCCCGATCCTTGGGCTGACATTCTTTCAGCATTATGCTTCAATTTTCTGAGCCTTTGTAACTCATAGTCTGGAAGCTGACTTTGGGAATTAGAAGCTTTTGCTTTACTCCCCTTCATCTGCAAAGCCATTCAATGAGAACATGTTTACAAACCATAAAAGATAATAATATGAAAAACAATGCAATATAATATAATATAATATAATATAATATAATATGAAAAGCAGTGCAATATAATGTAATATAAATTGTTAGGGAAAAAACCATCAGAAAGCTCTCTAGGAGGGATTTGAACAGCATAATGCCAACCATCTCTATTAAGATCTTCAACATAAAACACTTGATGTGCTTGAGATGCCAAGATAAATGGTTCTTCTTTAGAAATTGTCTTAGACATATTAATTGTTACAAGCTCATCATCGTCTTTTTCAGAGTGAAACCACACACACTTAAATAAGACGACACAGAAATAGCCATGGTAAGATACTGAAATGATGTCTGTTATTGAACCATAATAATTGACATTAGCCTCAAAAGGATTTTGATCTTTGGAACTCGCAAAGCTATGTGTCATGGCCGTTAGAGTGACTCCACTATTTTGAGTTACACAATTAGCATCGCGCTTCATGGTATGGAACCTATAACCATTGACTGAGTACCATGTATACTTTTTAGCAATGTAAGAAGGCCCTTTTGATAACCATATGATATTGTTAGGGATGATCTCTTGACCCTCGTCAACAATGAAATCAACTTTCTCCCTAAACCAATCCACAAAATCCTTGCTGTGATCTTGAACACTATTCCATTTTCTTTTTCCTCTAGCGCTTACAAATTCCTTGTGCTCACTATGAAATAAAAAAAGATTACTTTATTAACACTACAATTAAAACATATTCAAAACCAAGAGAAAAAGAAAAAAAACTACATTTTGGTTGGTAATCTAACCTTATATATTTCTCAACTTCCTCGCAGTCACAATTGAACAAGACATAACGATGCGCTTGTACCCATTGATTGTGATCAAGTATGTGTTCACGGTCTTTTTTCTTTGATGTCCTTCCTTTCCCTTTTATTGGACGTACTACCTTAGGAAGAAATGATTGTGATGGACTACAAGCATTAACTTGAGGTGTGGCCGAGTTTGATCCATTCAAAAATCTAGCTACAAAGGCAACACATTCTTTAGCTAGATATCCTTCTGCCATTGAGCCTTCTGGACGAGCTTTATTTCGAACATCTTGCTTCAGTCCATGAAGATACCTCTCAATCCCATACATACACCTTGAACTTACAGGTCCACCCAACTTAATTTGGCCCACCAAGTGTAGAGGTAGATGTACCATTATATCAAAAAAGGCAGGTGGAAAAATCCTCTCAAGTAGGCATAATGTTTCAACTATCTCATATTGCAATTTTTCAAGATGTTGAGGATCAACAGTTTTACTCCATATACTTTTAAAAAAACCACAAAGTCTAATCAAAGGAGTAGCAACATCTTTGGATAATGTTGTCTTCACTGCAATTGGGAGCAAATAATTCATCATAAAATGTGCATCGTGGCTTTTGTAGCCTGCAATTTTCCTTTCCCCAACTTGTACACATCGACCAATTTTAGAAGCATAGCCTTGAGGAAGTTTGGCATTTTTGAAGACTTGGCAGAACTTACGTTTTTGCTCCAATGACATCCAAAAGCGGGATCTTGGAAATTCTTCGCCACTATCTTCCAATTCTCTTGGTTGAAGCTCCGGCATCAAATTAAGCTCTACCAAATCTCGACGAGCACTCACATGATCCTTGGTCTTTTGAGAAATGTCTAACAATGTCCCAATGACACTATCAAACACATTTTTCTCAATATGCATTACATCGAGGTTGTGACGATTAAGACAATGCTTCCAATATGGTAACTCGAAGAAAATGACCCTCTTTTTCCACGGATTCGGATCATCAACATCACGCCTTGGTTTCTTTTGCTTCTTTCCAAATTCATTTGGAAAATCACGCAACAGATTAGCTACATCAATTCCATTCAATGGAGTAGGTTGATGTCTTTCCTCAACTTTCTCATCAAAATTCCTCTTATCACGACGCCAAGGGTGAAATGGAGGTAGAAATTTACGATTTGCCCTATACACATTCTTAGCACTATAAGGCAACCACTCAGAATCTAATTCATAATGACACTCAGGGCACGCCAAGTATCCTTTTGTGCTCCAACCAGATAACATCGCGTAAGCAGGAAAATCACTCACGGTAGTCATCAATGCTACATGCATGTGAAACCTCTGGTTACTCGAAGCATCATAAGTTTCCAGTCCGAACTCCCACAAATCCTTTAAGTCCTTCATTAGTGGTTGCAAATATATGTCAAGGTCATTGCCTGGGGAAGAAGGACCCGGAATTAGTAGTGCTAACATCAAATACTCAGGCTTCATAATCATCCAAGGAGGCAAGTTGTAATTGATCAACATAACTGGCCAAGTACTATGTACAATACTCATTGAGTTGAACGGGCTGAAGCCATCTGTGGCTAGTCCTAGCCTCACATTGCGCGGGTCATCAGAAAACTCTTTGTACAAGGAATCAAATTCCCTCCAAGCTTGACCGTCAGCTGGATGATGTAAAAGATGATCATTTTCACGCCCATCCGCATGCCAAGTCATGTATCTCGCCGTCTCTTGACACATAAATAGTCGTTGAAGCCTTTTATTTATCGGAAAGTACCTAAGAATCTTTTGAGGAATCCTATAGGTCTTTCCTTTACCATTTTCTATGTCATCCTCTTTGTCCTTTGATTTCCATCTTGGTGTTTTACAAACATGGCAGCTTGTTGCATTTTCATGCTCTTCCCAATATATCATGCAATCGTTTGGACATGCATCAATCTTTGTATAATCCAACCCCAACACTTTCAAAACACTTTTCGCTTCATTGAAAGAAGTTGGCAACTTTGCATCAGGCAACACCTCCCTTATAAGCTCCAATATATCTCCAAATGCGGCATTAGTTAGATTATGATCACACTTCAAAATAAAAAGTCGAATCATGAAGGAAAGTTTTGAGTGATTTTTGGAACCAGGATACAATTCTTCTTTCCCTTCTTCAACTAACCTCAAAAACTTTTTTGCCTCATCATTTGGCCCCTCTCTAAAAGCATCACGTGCATCATGCAACAACCTCACTACGTCATCGCTAGAGTTATTTGGGATTAACCCTTCATCATTATCCAAAATAGTTTCTTCTCTTTGGATATTGAACCCTAAGTCTGATAACTTATCCGATCTTGGAACAAAACCATTACAAATTAGATGGTCTCTCACCACACCTTCACACCGCCAAAAACGATAATGACAAATTTGACAGGGACAACAAATTTGATTTCCTTGAGACTTAATAGCAAAAGCCCTTTTGACATATTCATCGACTCCTTGTTCATATTCATCGCTCCATTTGGCAAACATCCAACAATTCTTAGTTCCACCTTCCATTCCTTAGGGTAAAAATAGAAATTAACAGAGTAAATAGGAAAAATTATTTGATAATTCTAGAAGGCCTTGACTTAAGTCCCTAATTTAGCTGTTACATAATGTTCCATATTTTGATTGATGTGGATTAGAATTTAAAAACAAGCAAAACCCATATTTAATTTACCATTTACATCATACTGAACAATTGACATTCAACAGTAAGTAATGAACAGAAAATAATAAAGCAAACAATTAAATAGGCACAGGCACAGGCACAGCTATTAGTTTCCATACTCTTGCTTTTAAGTTTACTCTTGTTCCCTTTAATTTTGGGCCTCCCATCCGTTTCCAATAGTAGTTTTAGCTGAATAATTGATTGGCAGTGATAACAGTAAGACTGTAAGAATTTTTGCTGGAGTTCAAAAGTTTAGTGTAATACTGCCAGCTTTCGAGCTGTAGTGACTCCTAAGGCAAAATCAAAGGGCATTAATGCTGGAGAAGCTCTGTGAGCCTTCCGCTAAGTGTTTTAATACCATTTATTCATTTAAAGCACTTGAAAATATTAAAATTGAAGCAAACACAGATCATATTTCACGCTACTAATTAGTCAAAAACAGCAAATTTGATGAGAAAATCCACTTCAAAATTAATATGAAGTAGTGTCTATCAAAACAAAAAAAAGAAAGTAGTGATTCGGTCATAAACACTATATTTTGATTTATTCATGCAAAAGAGTACATTCAGATATTCAGTCCATCTGTCCATGGAAGTAGAAAGTACCTGACAAGAAATAGCTTCAAGATTCCAATTTTAAGATAGAGAACGTTGTAGTTCGTCGGTGCACCTAAGATCAAATCAAGAACATGGAACCTAGAAAAGCAAGGACAACAGCTCGGTAACAGAGGAAATCCAAAGCACAAACCACAGTAAGATTTAGAAAACAGAACATAGAGCCGAATGATATATCAAGGAGCAAAAAAAGAGTTTGGATTGCATAAAGCTACATAAGCGAATTGCCTGTTGGGTTCTGTTTATAGCAAATTGTCCAAATACGCCCACCCAAACAGATTTACATAAAAAAGAACAAAGGTTGCAGCATAATTATGAGCAATGTCTGAGCCAAAGTAATGTCAATCAATAAGAAAAGTATCATATTGATGCTTTCTTCGGCTTGAGTTTTTACTCTGTATGTGTGTATGGCTATATGCTTATCAGTTTATGTACAAAGGGATATCGAACCAACATTTAAATTTCATGAAGTACGGTGTATGTTTTTTTTTTTCAAAAAAAAAATACAATTACAATCTCTCTACCTTTTGTCATTTACTATTATACATGAACTAGATATATGAAGCCACTGGGTTGCTTGGTTGTATTCCCATCCCTCCTGGTGAAACTAGGTTAGATTTCTAATCTAATTATCAGGTGGTGAGTTTTCCCCATTCCTTTCATAGTCAAATTGAAAGCACGTCTATCCAAATGTCTTGAGTTAGTTTCCCCCTTACACTTTCACAGTCAAAATTAACAAGAAAGTGTATCTTTTGCCTGTTTAAAACAGCTCAAAAGGCAGAAAGTTTGTAGAATAGTTCTTACTGCTTTGAAATATTAAAAGCTTTTTGATAGAATTAAAATCCCTTGTTCTTGAAAACCTTGACTAGTTCACAAATCCACCCACAACATACACTCAACACATGACTAGTTCACAAATCCAACACAGGCACACATCATCCTTGCTGTCAAGCAAAGCAAATAACAATGCATAGAATCAATCAGATGTTCATTGCCACCAACAACCTTAGATGAAGAACTAATCTAAGAAGTCCTAAAGAAGCAATAGAATAAATGGATCTTTTTTCCAATTCTATAACAGTTGCGAAATCTAGCGATCTCACACAACATCCCCCATTGTAAGTTGATAAACAAACCCAAACTACAATCGGCATAACCAGAATGATGACAGAAATAACAAATTTCAAGCAAAATGGTTAAGCATGTGCTCATTCCAATATCATTGCCTGGTCGGAACTTGTAAAAAAAAGGTTGGCTTCTGAGAGTTCTAACCACACAATCAGCAATTATTTATAACAATAGTACAAACATCCATAACATGCAGATATCCAATTCAAAATTTCAAATTAGCCAATAAGTTGCATTTCAACTAAATAACAAATTGCTGCAACCAAATGGAAATGCTTTAAAAACTACCCCTGCAAAAGAGAATTTAAGGAAATAGAACAAGCAGCCTAACCTTGAGTAAGGGATGCAAATGACCACCTTGGAAGACCTTTAGCTTTAAAGTTGTATTCTTTGAGTTCCAAATTCTTCAAGGCACCACTGAGATAACATGCCAGCATTAGAAAGTCAAACAGCAGGAAAAAAATAACTAAAACCAAGCTCCCGCCAAAATGTCAACAAGTCATAAAAAGTTTGCTCATAGCAACACAAGAACAGATTACACTCATTACAGAGCACCAAGGCACAAAAGGCTAATTGGTAAGTATGCCAAAATTGGCGAGAGGGTATGTCACAATGTAAACTGTGCAAAGGGATCACATGACACAACAACTTCACAAATGGAACAAGGCCTGAAGGCCAACAGATTTTCAAACCAATTCATCACTGAAGCTTAAAGATCACCACTGGAAATACCATCAATTTATCAGAGCAATACCAGGCTTATGCAATAAATGCCAACATGTGTGTGTGTGTGTGTGTTTATGTTGCATGTCAGCTAGGTGAGCTAACCATATCCAATTTGTGAAGATAGAGAAATGTGAGTACAACACAATTAGAATCAAAATACAAATGACAGAAAGCTAGTTTGAATATGCACTTATCAGACAGTAACAAAATTAGATGAAAATCAGACACAAGCATGCGGTAATCAGTTTAGTTGTTCACTTACGCTTAGAAATTCAAATATGCACTTATCATATCCTCTCAAGAGTATGAAACTACAATTACTGAACTAATTTACAAAAAGTGAAGTAGTTTCTCCGAATGGATCACTTAGTTAGAGAATGGATCACTTAGGTGTAACAACAGCACACAGGGTTGCGGTTAGCTAGCAAATCGATCACTTAGGTGTTGATACTTGCTACAACACAGGGATTCGCAGCACAAATCAATTAGCAGATCATGTTAGTGTGGAGATAACCCATTGCTGCTAGCCTGTTATGATCATAGATATCTGCTCATGCAATCCTCAGGTTTTTAAGAAAAATGGGAAAGAGATATTTGATGTTGACTGAATGCTCTAACTACAACAGAAATGCACCTATCAAGCACCTCCAAATCATCATTCCTCAATTGACAGAAATGTGAGTCTAAATTCAGGTTTTTCCTCCAGAAAAGAAACTGTGTCTATGTTGGATGTCGAATTTAAGTCCATCCCACAAAATTACTAAGCACTTAAAAGATAGATGACTTCATATTACAAAATCAACAATGGCAACAACAGCCACTAAGTAGTACCTATTACAGTTTTGATGGGAGTGTGGAGAGGTCTACATTGATACGACTCCACCGGTAAAGGCATACCCTCAGTCGTAATCAAGAAACAAACAGAAACTAAAAAAGAGACTCCACCAAGGTAGTGTTTCAAACAGGTAGTCATGTCTATTTTCTTCTAAACAGGTAGTCATGTCACTCCTAGTTGACATATATTTAGACCCGGAAAAGCACAGCAGCATTGAAATTGCTCTTCACATTATAAAATGGGAGTAATGCACCACGAATAGAGAACATCCGTAGCTGCAGGCTGAACATTGCACTGATGCAAAAAAATAACCTTCGAAGCAAATTCTCCACTTCTTTCCACAATACTAATAATTTAGTTCTCCACTTGTTTTCGCTCTTTAACATTTCACTTTAGATGTGGCAGTAGTACTAATAAAAATTGACCAAATTCTCCACTTCTTTCCACAATACTAATAATTCAGTTCTCTGCTTGTTTCCATTCTAAACCCCCAAAACTTACAGAACCTTTCATTTCATTCATTAATTTTTTTGAAGTTTTCAACTTTATTCTAAAAGAAAGAAAAAAAAAAGAAGAAAAGCAAGTATGGCAGTTGTAGAGATGGTAGTTTCAGCAATGTTTAAAGAAGTGTTGGAAAAACTGGTTTCTGAAGGAGTGAAGCAGTTCGCGAAGCTGATTAAAATTTAGGAAAGAAATCAGCTAACTAAAATTTCACAAAGGACTTTTCATCGGTGACATTCAATGGGAGATAACTAAAATTTCACAACAAAAATCAGCTAACTTCAACAGGTATATGTCAAGTATTCCCAAATAAACCCCCAAAAAAAATTAGGGTTCATAAATCGAAAAACCACCCCAACAACCACCCTCAAGCAAGCAATCAGCCACATGCAACATTCGAACAAATCAACAAATCTAAATCCAAAGATTCGAGCAATCAGCCACATGCAAGGTTCAAACTAAAACTAAATACAAAACAAAATCAACCTACCTCAGATAGAGATTCGAGCACAGAAAAACGAAAAGGCGAGGAAGGAGAACGAAGCAACGGCGGCGGCGAGAGAGGAGAACGGAGGAACGAGCAGCAGCGAGGGAGGAGAACGAAGGAAGACTGCTGAGAAGTTTGGGAATTGGGGTTTCAATTTCATTTTTCAATTTCATTTTTGGCTCTAATATTTCAGCATTCTCGGTTTTTTTTTGTTTTTTACTCATCCGTTGTATTAGGTATTATTATTTTTTTCTTTTTATTAGTAATTGGGGTTGATCCGTTGGATTAGCTACAGTGGTCCGTTGGATTAGCTCCAACTAAAAAATAAAAAAAAAATAAAAATTTCGGGAACACTATCCGTTGTGTTAGAAGAATAATCCGTTGGATTAGCTCATCTAATACAACGGATTAGTTTATCTAATACAATGGTTAGTATAAACCGTTGTATTAGCCCTGTTTTAGTGTAATACAACGGATTAGCCTTGTCTAATACAACGGTGTAAAATTAGCCGTTGTATTAGCTATTTTTGTACCGTTGCATTAGATCAAAAATGT